GTGTAGTCGCCAGTTCATTCCCCTTAGTATCGTCATGCTCCCTCTCCAGATTGGTGTGACCTCAGAGGGGGGACACAGCATCCCGTTAAACTCAATCAGAATGTTCATCCTTGAAAAAAAAATGGAAGCAAGAAAGGACAAGTTTAAAGCAAACAAACAGACTAAAAGCAAGCTCATAGGAGAAGAGCTGAGAGTTCGTCTGTTCTCAGATTAGCAGTGTCCTCTGCCAGCACTCCACACAGTGGAGTCCTCGCCTTGCCCGGCACCACTGTGCCCAGAGAAATCGGAATTTCAGACAACAATGAATCATTTTTGGAGCATGTTTATTCTCAGATATTATTAGTAGTTTATCTGAAATTCCAGTTTAACTCCACACCCTGTATTTTTATTTGCTAACTGTGGGACCCTGACTTATTTCCGTATCTTTAAAATGTGAAATAATATTGCAGGTTTGGGGACTTCCCTAGTGGTCCAGTGGTTAAAACTCTGCACTTCCACTGCAGGGGGCACAAGTTTGCTCCCTGGTCAGGGAACTAAGATCCTGTACGTCACATGGCATGGCAATCAATCAGTCTATCAATAAATACTGCAGGTTTGTTGTGAAGTTAGATGAGATAAATTTACAAAGGACCTGGCACCCAATAAATGTAAAAAAATAATAATAACAAGATTTTTGTCTGTTTTATAATTTACCTTATTATTAGGTTAAACCACATGAAATCGCTGTTTGTAGGTCAAAAACATTTGAATGTCAGCAGATTTCAACCTAATGTATACCTAGAACCTTGCTAATAACTTCTCAAAAGGAGCCTGTTTATTTGAAAATGGTTGTAAAGTGTTTTCCAAGTAAGACTTTTTACAGTGTTTGTCTCTCTTCTGATTCCTACCCGTAGGCAGGGTCAGTAGTGATGAGAATATTATAAGCTGATATGTGTTTGTAAAATAATTGTTAAAATGAAAACAGCATCTTAATCCTGTTTCTCTTTTTTCTTTTTCCCCTCTTCCTTTTGACCATTTCTCCATTTTCCCGTCCACACATTTTTGATCTTTTAATTCTTTGTTCATCCGCATCCCTTTCTGTGTCCCGGGAAACTTGTGCTTTGTGTGCGGACGGGCACCGCACACAGCTCACGCTTTCTTTCCCCAATCAGGATGGCGGCCTCGTGGAAGAGCCCACGACTTCACCATTTTTGCCTTCACCAAGCCTGAAGCTCCCCCTTTCCAACAGTGCACTCCCTAATCAGGCCCTGGGCGGGATTGCCTCAGGGCTGGGCATGCAAAACTTGAATTCTTCTAGACAGGTAAGGCTGTTGGTAGATGGCCACCATGGTCTCTCTCACTTGCCTTTCAGAAAATGTGTTTGACACGCAAACCACCTTATTTTTAATTAATGCCTGCATTTGAAAATATAACTGAATATGTAAAGGAAGCTGAAATATTATAAGGATTTCCTTCCAAGTGATGTACTGCTTGGATTCAATTCAACTGAATTGAATCCAGTTCTTGAAATTTAACCATGTTATAGGAAATGCTTCAAAATTATATTTATTCTTACATGTAACTAAAACACCCTTGGTACTAAAGTACTGCTAGTACTTTAAATGACATGGACCGCAGAGCCGTCTTCACCTGCCCGATGCGTTCACAGGTCCAGGCAGTGCCGTCCTGTCTCTCCTGACAGTCGAAACCTTAAATGCATTGATCTGCAGGAAAACACCATACTCTCCCCTTTTTCCCAGAACAGAGGTGACATCTCTTGCAGGTTCTCAGTGGTTTTCAGAGAGTGATGTTGGCACTGTTCCCTGCCTTTGACACTCTTGGGGGAGGTGAAAGTCACCCTCAGACGTCCCTGAACGGAGGGACCTGGGGTTTTGATCGACGGCCGCTTCGTGTCACTTCTCTCCCCTGGAATGAAATGATACGGAAGCGCGTCACGCTCTTCCCGTCCACAGAACTGCTCTTCTTGATTTTCTCCTGGGGGAGGCTCCCATCACACAGCTCTGAGCCTTCTCTTCCAGCGATGCTGTGAGATTTGGGGTGGCCGGCGGCAGTTCTCAGTGGCGCCCCATCCACGTGACCCTGGCCATCTCTTGTTGCCCACCGGGCTGCGGTGCCAGTTTCAGCTCTTCTGCGGTCGGGAAGTCAGCAGCCTGGCCGGCGGGCCCCGGGGATCAGATGCCCAGTCAGGAGAGTAGAAAGAAGCACTCAAATATATAGTTATTATATTTAACACAAAGTTAACTGCCTGGACTTGTTCACGTATTCAATTTCAGGTTTGTTGAAATCATAATTATATTTCCTTTTGGAAAATGTCCTGTTCTCCCAGGTTAGTGGTCCCCACACATGATGCCCTTTACCCCAGCACAGACGGTGCCCACACAGCCGTGCCTGCTGCTCCTGTGCCTGGCTCTGTGTAATTATAGCTTCCTGGAAGACGACGGCCTTGTTGGGGGGCACCTAAAACTGGCTCTGTGGGCGGCTTCTGTGATTTAAAGACATAGGCAGGCTCTGCGGGCAGATCTCCTGTCATCTGTACCCAGTTTAGACAGCACTTCTTAAACATCCCCTTTGGTACACGTTGAGAGCGGCAGGAAGCAGGTGCAGCCTTGCCCCCCGCTGGCTCCCGGGCGACTGTGTAACGCGCCCTCCGCCTCCCTGCAGACACCGAGTGGCAACCTGGGCATGTTTGGCAGCAGCGGAGCAGCCCCAGCGAGGACCATGCAGCAGCCGCCACAGCCGCCCGTGCAGCCCCTGAGCTCCTCCCAGCCCAGTCTCCGTGCTCAAGTGCCTCAGTTTCTATCCCCTCAGGTCAGACCCGCGTCTGCGCTACACTGAGAGCCAGTCAGCCCGCAGTGTTAACCTGTCCATCCCACCCTCCTGCCCTGGGAGGCATTTCCGGAGCTGCTCCCCCAGGGCCCCCGCCCCACAGGCCAGGGCTGGGCCTCCTCCCGGCAGAGTGCTGTTGCCGGGTGACACATGCCAGGGATGGGACTTCTGTCCTGGTCTTGAGAAGATTACTCGGATGAACCCATTGAATTCTTCTAGATTGGTGAGAGAGGAAAGTGGCAAGTGAAATTGCTTGGGACATAAAAGAAAATTCTTAGAAGCAGTGAAGGACTGAGTAATGCTTTAGTGACAAACTAAATGTGACAATATATAATAGTGTCCATATCACAGACTTTTGAGTTAAGTTTATTCTTTAGTATTAGATCGTTTTAAAACAAAAGAGCAAATAGAATCAAGGAAAAGGATATTGTTTTGCATAGCTCTAAAGCATAATGTCAGCTTTTTCTCATATCAATATTGTTTACCTTTAGAACATTTCCGTAATTTTTGACTTTGGACTGAGTTTTTAATTACAGTGTTACAGTCCTTACCGCTTAAAAGAATATTCAGTAATAGATTAAAATGGTAAATCATAGAATTCGCTGGAAGTAATTATTCCTCCACAGTTGTTTGACCAGAGATCTGTGCACTGAGTTGAGATGGCTGAAATCTGGGTGAAATAATAGTGAAATGCATTAAACAGGATACACTGTAAGCTGCTACGGTAAAATGCATTAAACAGGGTACACTGTAAGCTGCTACAGCAAAGACACCCTGAAATACAGATGCTCGGACCAGACAGACAAGTAATTCGCCCCCAAGCAACAGAGCAGAAAGTAGCAGCTCTGCCTCGGCCGTTGCCCAATGACAGAGGGAAAGCGAGAGACATACCACTTCCACTCATGTCCCACTGCCCAAGCCTAGTGACATGGCCACCCCAGCTAAGGCACAGGAGCAGAGACAGGTCCTGGAGACAGAGCAGCCTTCCGCACACAGCAAGCCAGCGTGTCCCGAACGTCACTCATCTGTGTGCCTCCCACGACTGTTACATAATGTGTTTTCTTTAAGTTGACTTGCCTTCTTAATTTAGATAAATTTATTCTTAAAACTGAACATATCTGTCGTAAAGAGAAAAAGCAACATTTTTCTAATACACGTTAGACGACTGTAAAAGATACTCTTCTGTGCTCTACCTAAAACCATCTTGTGTAAATGCTGTGATAAACGTACAGCGCACACCGTGGAAAACACTGAGCTGGCCAGTGCCAAGCCCCTGAAGGGTTCAGAGCAGTGAATGCCAGTTGGGCAGGGAGGCAGGCTCACCATTGCGGTCAGGGCTGGCCGGCCACACCAGGGCACGTGCCACATGGGAGACTGGGCAGCCGGGCCCCCCGAGAGGAATGGCTGGTCCCACGAGCAGGGGGAGACCACTTCCCGAACGTGTCAACTTGAGAAGGGGTCCCTGCCTGCCCTGGAACAAGGCCCCCCGGTCAGATGGCCGCGGTGCCATCTGCTGAGCTCCTGCGGGGACTAGTCCAGGGCGCCTGTGTGAGACGCAGACACTGGCCTCCTTTGAGGAGGCTCGAACTTCCTCCCAGAGACCACGCCTTCGCTGTCTCCCACCTTAAACGATGCCCACTTAGCTTCATTTCGACAGAACGTGAAACCAGTTACCGATGGGAGTAACCCAGAGCCCTAGAAAGTTAATTCGTAACTAAAATATCTGGAGGAAGAAATCTCTTTCTTGCCATCTGCCTTTACCTCCCTCCCTCCCTTCCTTCCTTTCTTCCTTTCATATCATCCACAAAAGCATGTAAACTACTAATGTTAAAATGTCTGTAAATTTTTTAATGGCTTTTGAAGTTCACTGAGACAAATATAACTGTCATTTACTCAGTTTTGAATCTCAGAAAACTGCCCAGACAAGTAAATGTTTGAATAGAGAATCCATGTCTAATGGTGCATTTTTTGTTAACAGGTTCAAGCACAGCTTTTGCAGTTTGCAGCAAAAAACATTGGTCTCAACCCTGCACTATTAACCTCGCCAATTAATCCTCAGCATATGACGATGTTGAACCAGCTCTATCAGCTGCAGCTGGTGAGTGGGTAGATCTGCTCGGGTTCTAGGACAGAGGAAGAGCCTTCTCCCCGTGAGCTCGGGGATGTGCCAGCAACATGCATGCCGACTGAAGAAAAGCAGTCGCCGTAATGCTTTTCTTCACGTCAGGGAATGTCATTGAGACGTTCATGAAGTTTGTAAACTATTAAAGGAATTAGGAAGTTCTTCACTTAAGGGTGTGTCCACTAAGCTTTGTGGATTCTGTGGCCCTTTCGTGATCACAGTCTTCCAGATCTGACAGTTAGGGTGTCTGTTAGCTCTCAGCCAGCCTTTCTCATCTGAACCACAGAACCCAACAAATCATTTCATGATTGTTCTCTAAATTCTTCCAAGGTTGGTCTACACAGATAGCATTCTAGAAACAAAAGACAGAAGTTACTTCGTTACATACAGGAGATGAGATGCCTTAGAGATTAGGACTTGATTTTCTCAGAATCCCTCTTGAGGAAGGCTGATGTAGCCTAATAATTCTTGCAAGTGTTACAGTTTAACATATGTTGAATTTTTAATTTTCAACAGTCTTACTGCTTTTACCATGAAATGCCATGGCATTGTATCCCTAGGTGCATCCTGAATTTATATTCCCTGAAGGGCCCGGTATATTATTTCCTTCTTTAATACGTTGACACCTGATTTATTTCGAAGTCTTGCCCAACAGCTTCATCTCCTAGAAAATGACCAGGAGTCATGAAGGGAGAAAAGCCTCCAATAGACAAAACCATGCTGTCAGCCTTTCCTTACGGGGGAGCCCTGGGCTCTCAGTCCTGACCCTTCAGCGTTTGTTAGACACACGTCTGACCGTCTGGGTGTCTGGTTCCAGGTAGTGGCCAGGTGGGGTGGGGGTGACCTAGGACAAGCCGCAGTGCAGTGAAGTACCCAGGGCCCTGGGCACGGGATCCAGACCGGGACTGGACCTCACTCGGAAAAGGGAGCCAAGCTGCCTCACAGTCATGCTGTAAGGCCCCTGCGCGGTGTGCTACCGCCAGCGCCAGGAAGGGACCACCGGCCTCAGCGGGGAGCAGCTGAGAAGCATGCTATTTAGAGCTCTCACTGCAGAGGAAAACAGCTTTCCACTCCTTGATAACACAGAGGACGGCTGGATTCTGACGTGAGACAGAACTCGTTATCAGTCGTACTGATGTTCTGGAATCCTTTATTTATACATAATTTTTATTGACCTCTGTAGTGTAAAAGATACCAAGAAAATGTTGGATTATGTTTAATCTGGTCTGTTTTAAAAACAGTGTACACTGTTGTAACATTTTTTTCCAGAAAACTTGGTAAAATGATATTTCAGTACATCCTAAGGTTAAGTTTTAGAGCCTGTAAGGATTCACTTAAGTGAAGTATTTTATTCCTCTCTAATTTACAGATTAATGAGGCATTTCTAGTAGTATAATCTCTACTTCTACTTGGATTCTATTTCAATAAATCCTCTTGCCCAAAACGTCCCAAAAAAATCCATGTTGTAAAGAAAAAATTTACAGTATTCAGCCAACTTTCGAAACAAATGATCCGGCCTTCTGCCTCATGGTGGGAAGAATCTGACGATCATTCTCGCTGGCTTCGTGGACGGGGTCTGTGTGGCAGAAGTGGCCACGTCTGGACCTCAGGCTCCCTGTGGACCAAGGCCACACGTGGCTCCTGGTAGCTACAAGCCCTTTAACGTGTATTGTTCTGTGGCCGCCGATCACTGCTGTCCTGCCACATGGTCTGAGCCATTCTGGACAACTTGCATCTTTATAAGGGGAAAAAAATTTTTATTTTCCCCTCATTTCTTTTTTATTTTTAGTTTGTATGAATTGAGCAGAAGAATTTTGATCTCTTCATTAACTGAAAAATATTTGCTGACAAACCTCATTACCAGCACTAAACAGGGGTACTGACTGAGTTACTTTGTAAAGTCTGTGCACTAGAAAGGTTTTGGAAAGACATGTCTCCTTTTGAAAAAGCTTCATGCCTCACGCTATGCTTAAACCACAGGACGGTAAGGGGACCGAGAATCTGTGCCTTTTTTTTTTTACACTAATGTACAGAAGTGGAACCCTTTGTTGAGGCTTTCTTATAATCTACTGGACGCTTCTCTTTGTGTCTGTGTCCACAGGCGTACCAACGTTTACAGATCCAGCAGCAGATGCTACAGGCCCAGCGGAACGTTTCCGGACCCATGAGACAACAGGAGCAGCAAGTAGGCGCCCCCCGGGTGGCTCAGCGGGTCGCTAGCTGTCACCTCCCCTGGCCTGTTACTTGTCACTGGCTTCTCTCTCGCTCAGCCTCCCGTTTTGAAAGCCTCGGCGTCACCTGGGCTGGGGAGGAGGGCGGCCCCGGCGGCCCTCCCGACCCGCTGACCGCGCGTCCCCGCCCGCAGGTTGCGCGCACAATCACTAACCTGCAGCAGCAGATCCAGCAGCACCAGCGCCAGCTGGCCCAGGCCCTGCTCGTGAAGCCGCCCCCGCCCCCGCCGCCCCTGTCTCTGCACCCCTCTGCAGGCAAATCGGCCCTGGACAGCTTCCCCCCCCACCCCCAGGCCCCCGGCCTCCCCGACCTGCAGACCAAAGAGCAGCAGTCTTCACCCAGCACCTTCGCTCCCTACCCTCTCGGTGAGTCCGGGTCGACGCCGACCGCGTGCGCCTGGCGGGGCTGAAATAGCCGGGCAGAAATGCAGTTCCAGGCAAAACCGGAGCGAGGCTGTCTCAGGTCTCCTTCGTAAGGGAGGGACCCTAGCTGTCTTCGCAGAGCAAGAATTTTGCTGCGCCCATAAGTGCTTTCAGTATAAAATCTTTGAAAGTAGTACCAGAATGATCTCCTCTCCACTGTTGAATCGGCGCTTTGTTCCGTCCCTGGCTCTCTCCAGCCTGAACTGCTGGGAACAGGAAGGGTGTGCAGATTTCCGTGAACCAGGCACTTCTTAAAAAGCCATGGTTGCCCGCACAAGTCCTGTAGTGCAGAGCACGACTGTGTACTCACCCAGACCAACACGCACACCCTCACCCCCAACCGGTAGGGCGCCCGCCCAGCACTTGAAACCCGCAGGCCAGTGGCAGATGTGGTGCCGCCCTCGAGGTCACCAGGAGGGACACAGGTTACGACGTTGAAGACCGTCAGAAGGGCTGTGTCAGGAAAGTGATCGTACGGGGAATACTGTTGACCCATGAACAACACGGGCTGAAACAGCGTGGTCCACTTACCCATGGGTTTTTTCCCGTAAATAACGGTGCTGCGTGACCTGCGGTTGGTTGAGTTTGCAGGTACAGAGGACCGGCTGTAAAGTCATACCCGGATTTGTGACCCCTGCGTTGTTCGAGGGTCAGCTGTAATTTGCTCTAAGGATCCAGAAGTGGGTGAAAGCGCCTCAGGCTTGTCAGGCTGACTGTTAGAGTCTGAAGCTACAGGGCAAAGGGAATTAGTTACCTGAGAAATACATATCCAGAGGGTCAAAGGCCAGGTGAGTGACAGCGAATCTCGGCTAATGATGTCCCTTTCTGTGGAATACTACCAACACCTCTGAGAGCTATGTTCTGATCACATGAGCACTGTCTCCTTGACATGTAACCAGTGTGGTGTGTCTTTAATACAAAACTGACAAATGCTAAACTACAGTTCTTCTGTCCCTTCATGATTGTCCTACCCGTTACTTTCCTCTGTGCTGAAGAAGCAGAATAGTCTAGTAGTTAAGACCTGCCTTAGGAATCAGGCCACCACACTGCCCCCACGACTAAGCTGCCTGGCAGCTCTTTGCCTCAATTTCCCCATCTGTAAAGTGGGAATACTTACCTCATAGGGTTCTTCTAAAGATTTGGTGAACTAACAGGCAAAGTACTTTGTAATAGCAAGCACTTGGTAGAATGTTGGCTACTTATGTAAATACTTCTTTTTTAACAATAGTTGTTTTAGAAGAAAATTCAGTTCCATCTATTGTCCTGAAATGTTTAGCTGCAGCTTCCTAGTGTCCTAGTATCCATCTGTCCTCTTAACCTATATTTAGAGGATGTAGTACACAAATCTTTATCCTTAAACGCTTTTTCTTACAAGTGAAAAGATTAGTGCCTTGAATCTTCAAAATTGATGAAAAATACTTCGGATAATATTCTATAATCACATTAAAGTTTAAAAATAAATGTGTTAAAATAGATAGCTAATAAAGTTTAAGAAAGTTAGTTTGTAAAATTGCCTCTCTGGCTGGTTCTCACCCCTTTTCCTCAGCAGCTCTAAGTCCCGTCCGCCTTCCTTCCTGTGCAGCCTCTTCTCCGGATGCTGTCTTGACTCCCGAGCTTGTCGTCTTCCCAGGAAGACCAGGCGTATAAAAACGAAAACCAGCCTTCATAGGCAGTGCAACGTGGTTACTGCAGAGCTTAGGGAAGGGAGAGTGCATGGTCACCCTGCGCGGTGAAAGAAGAATCAGAGCAGGGTTTAAGCGTGGACCTCAAACGAGTAGAGTTCAGTGGAGCAGAGCCAGCCTCGCATGGAAGAAGAGGCCGTCGGTGTCGGCGAGGGCCGGCCGGGCTGGCTGCCAGTGGAGGGAGGAACAGAAAGAAACGAGACGGGGAGGGTGGGGCCCGGCCATGGGACTTGGGGTGCTCTGGAGGCCAGTCTGAAGCCCGTCCTAACGGTTGTGCCCTCACCTGACTGGGTCTGTGTGGGTGGAGGTGAAGGTAGCCCCCAGTGGTGTCGGACTCCCATGGGCGTTCGGTTAGGTCTGCACAGTGTGTGTGTGTGAGATTGCCAACATTTAAAAATTGGAAATTTTCAACCAAAAGTGGCTTCTGGCTTCTCTTGAAAATGGCTGCCTTGGGCCTGTGTTCCATTCACTGGTTGCATGGGTAGCACCTGTAGCAGGGCGGGCGCTGTCCCCACCAGGCCCGCATCACCTTCATTTGTGTTGCCTGCTTGGCCCATACGGGCATTTGAGTTTGAAGCTCTTGATTTAAAGTTAAGAACAAAAATGTTCAGTACCTTTGCTCTGTACCAGGACATGTGGTGTGGGAACCGCAGGTTAGAAATGGCCTGGAAACACTGGGTCACACCTGCACTGGTCATTCTGTCCGGCCAAGCAGCCTGCTCAGCTCATGACGGGTGTCCCATCAGCGACTCTTTACTTCAGCCTTTTTGCTATCGTCCCCCTCATCTCTCTCCACTAACCCAGCACAGTGAGGGCGCTTGTCACGTGCCCCAGTGCATGCCTGCTTTTAGCTGTAAGAAATAAACCCAGGATCAGCTCACATTCCAGCCAGGGCAGACGGCAGCACCCACACTTTGAAATAGTTCAAGTCCTTTAAGGGAGTTTGATGTTTAATTCATAAACTCCTTAAGAGCAGCCTTTTGTAAAGTGAGTTCACTAAAGGCAGATTTGGGGTCTCCCCACCAGCTTGTTCTGTCGGTGGGACCTTAGGGTACCGTTTACGTCTCTGAGAGACTGGTTTGGATCTGGTGAGTTTGCACAAGGTGCCCTGAGATCAGAAAAGACTTTCCTAATTGTTTGGACTTGTTCTGTTTTTCTGTGGGCTCTGACTGAGAAGCTTCAGGACCACGTTTGGCACCAAAGCGAGTAAAATGAAGAGAATCATTGGTCTTACTTAATCAAAGACTATTTGTTACCATCGTCCCCCTAATTTAGGAATAAGATTCCTACAGATGTGTGTTACTAAAAAGGCAAAAAGGGGTTTTTTTTCCTCCAGCATTAAAAGTTACATTTAGAATATTTGGCTGTGAATTAAGACTTAGTTTGATTCTCTAGGAGAGCTTTAGAAAGTGAACGTTTAGAGGAAGAGCAGACGTATCCTGATAGCGTTTTTGTTTTTAGCTGGACTGAACCCAAACATGAATGTCAGCAGCATGGACATGACTGGTGGTTTATCAGTGAAGGACCCGTCGCAGTCCCAGTCACGCCTCCCTCAGTGGACACATCCCAACCCCATGGATAACTTACCCGGTGCTGCTTCTCCACTCGACCAGAACCCCAGCAAGCATGGTACGTCTGAGCCAAGGTGCCTGGAGTCTGGTCACTTCTTTCCTACTCGCTGGTTATGCTCGTTTTGTTACTCGTACTGCATTTCCCTTCTAAGAGTTCAGTGCTGAAAGCTGAAAAGAAAATATTCCAAGAGAACAAACCAAACCACAACGAACAGGGACACAGGGACCTAGAGCAACCAGAGGGGAAGGGGTGGATGGAGAGCGAAATGGCGGAAGGGGGTCAGCTGCGTGGAGACGGGTATAAACTAAGCTCTTGGTGGTGAGCACCCTGTGGTGTAGACAAAAGTCGAAATGCAGTGTCATACCCGCGAAACTTAGATGTCAGAAACCAGTGTTACCTCAGTAAGTTAAACATATATATTCCACTTCATTACAGAGTGTGTCAGGTCCCAGGTAGCCAATGATCAAACCTCTCCAAGCCTCAACTTTCACACCTTAGCTACAAACCAAGAAGTAATTGAAAATGCCCCAGAGCAACGAAGAGTACAGGTCATGGCCGCACACTCATGTATCTGTATCTTCAACCAAAACTTTGTCTAAGAGAAAATTTTTTCCATAAAATGATAAAACACAATAGAAAATCTAATGCCTAGAAAAGAGAAACAGCAGATGCTAACAACCAGGAAATTCCCTGGTGGTCCGGTGGTTAGGATGTGGCGCTCTCACTGCTGGGGCCAGGGTTCAATCCCTGGCCGGGGAACTAAGATCCCGCAAGCTGCGAGGCACGGCCGGGGGGGAAAAAAAAAAGCTAGTAACCGTAGGAGGTGATCTCACTTGCATTAAATTTAGCTCTTAAATTCCTCGTAGCATAAACAGCAAAGGAAATTAATAGGGTGTATAATTCTCTCTTGATATAAGGCATTCTAAAAAGAAAATTTTTCCTAATGGTTAATTCTAGAAGAAAATCATCACGTGCTATTTGGGCACTTCCCTTGGCAGGAGAGAGCTCAGTTGCCCAGGGTGGGTGGGGTTAAGGCCTCCGAGTCCACATGCCTGTTTGTCCTTCCATAGTGAGGGCAGCAGACTGGGGAAGGGACACAGGCAGCAACAAGGACAGGAGCTGACCACAGGGACTCACAGGCTGTCCCCAGAGGGCTTCACCGTGGTGTGGGTATGCATTTATCAAGAATTCCAACTTGAACAACTGAAACAGTTCTTAAAGAGTTTGTCTTTCAAGGCCAAGTTTGGGCTAACGGAAATAGTCACTTCCCCCAGAAGGCGCTGGCCAAACCAAGTCTGACAGTTCGTGCACCTGTGCAAAGGGCAAGGCCCGGCGCCCAGCACAGGGGCTCGGGGTCCCCTGTTCACTCGGCTCTTTGTTCCCTCTGGTCCCCTCAGGTGCTATCCCTGGAGGTCTGAGCATTGGGCCTCCAGCTAAGTCCTCCATCGACGACTCCTATGGCCGGTACGATTTAATCCAGAGCAGTGAGTCACCAGCCAGTCCTCCTGTAGCTGTTCCCCATAGCTGGTCACGTGCCAAATCTGACAGTGATAAAATCTCAAATGGCTCCAGCATCAACTGGCCCCCAGGTAAGAAAGAGTGTGCACGCTTCCCTGTGGCAGCCGATCAGCACACGCCAAGCCTATGGGAACGACTAGGCCCAGTAGAAGCCAGGGTCCAAGCTGAGAATCCTGGAAGCCTTAACCCCATAGCTTTGGCTTTTTCATTGGAAATCCATTCATCAGATAAATTGTGGGTGTGGTTGGCATCACAGGGTTTTCTGCAGCCCTCGGTTCAGTGGAAGGAGAGTGGGGAAGGGGCACTGTGTCCCGTCCGGTCAGAGCATGTCTGGGCTGTATCCTCCCGTCTGGACACCATCTTAGTGTTCAGCGTGGTGGCTATAATACTTAGTTTGTTCCGAAGGATTGATGATTTACTGAAGAAAGTCTAAAGTGTGCCTCTTAACTTAATTAGCAGATTATAAACACTTCCATAAGCTATCATGAAGCAACATGAAGGTGCTCTAATACTCATGTGTTGATTTTCATTTGTTTGGAATTTTCTAGAGTTCCATCCTGGAGTTCCCTGGAAAGGACTTCAGAATATAGATCCCGAGAATGACCCCGACGTCACTCCTGGAAGTGTCCCCACCGGGCCTACCATCAATACCACCATACAGGATGTCAACCGCTACCTCCTCAAGAGTGGAGGTGAGGGGGCGCCCCGCCCGTGTCCATGCAGTGGTCTCCGTGCAGGCGCTCCAGGGCAGCGGGAGGGTGTGGGTGGTGAGGCTGGGGCGTGCAAGCCACGTCCGATGGGAACCTTCTCTTGCCGTGTGATGCAACAT